AGCAGGCTTTGTCAATTTCAACATTTCATGTGTGTTTATTTCAAACAGCGCGCTTTTCACGCATGCGCAGTAGTTTGAATCCTGTGCTGTTGTGAATGAGGCCAGTGACAATGTAAATATCGTCGTGAATAGCAGACTTTTTGGGTCCAAGGTCACGATTTTCATTGATATTAAGGGACGCGTTACAGACCCCGTTCGCCATGCCGCTCCCCGCAGACATCGACCAACTTCACCCTGAGACTCAAGCCCTGCTACGAGCAGCCGCAGAAAAAGGAGGAAAGGGCTGTGAAGAAGGTGAAACCATGGAAGAGTCACGAGCGATCGCGGATGCCATGTTCGAGGATGCCAATCAGGGGGCAAACTACCAGTTTAAAGGAGAGAAGCAGATATGCACGGTTCCTTCTCCTTATTGCCAAGGTACACGAGTAGTTCGCTTCGGTTAGACTGAGAGATGCTTTAAGTAATCCCTTTGACAGCCCATTAAAAAAAGTCGGTAAATAGTAGTCAAAAAATTAATGGTAGGCCTACCCTACAAATGCAAGTAAGAAATACCCTAGGTTCTAGATTTCGGTATTGCCAGCTTGATCTTGATTTCATATATAACCCATATCAGCAATACCAAAAAAGGAAAGCGACATGAATAGTTTTAATCGTTAAAACAAGCTAGCTTTACTGTGCCATGACACTCAGGGTAGTAGGGCCTAGGCCTACAAAAAGGACGAGTGAAAAAACCATTCGTCAATAGAAATGCACAAATTTGAATTGAAATGAGGTAACAAAAGTTTTTTCTTCATCAGATGGAATCACTGTGTGGGTATTTAAACCGAAACCGTGTCCCCCAAGTCCCACCATACTGCTATATTTCCACGGAGGGGGATTTGTGTTGGGGGGCTTAAGAAGCCACGATACCGTGGTGAAAACTTTGACCGAGTGAGTGTGATTCTTGTAATAGAGGACAATAAAGCGATCCAACTGACAAATTGGTAGGCCTATATCTCTTATATAAAACCATTTATCAGTAAAATTGTAGTGTCAACATGTTTGATTTGTCGACAAGCGTTGACGATCATAATTTTTATCTACTAGACAAGTGGTAATATTTGTCAAGCCAAGGCCATTCCCGCCGTAGATTCTGTTCTCTTATAAGTTTTTTTATTAATCCCAGTACAACGGGGTGCATAGTTGTCAACGTGAACTACCGCCTGGCTCCTGAGCACAAGTTTCCTGCTGGAATTGATGACTCTTTGACAGCGTTCAAGTGGGTTATGGCCAACAAGGAAAAGCTTGGTAAGAAAGCAATGCGTTAAGTTTTGAAAAAGCCATCAGTGCATTCAATTCCAAGTGCCGAGTTTATATAGTTTTCAATTAGTTTTAATCTTCGGAAACAATAAATACAGTACTTAAGTTATTTTAAATAATTCAGTAGGTATAATAAACGGGTTCTTCTGGACTGTTTTGGGAATAGGAATTATAAGCCCTGAAATATATTTTTCAACAATATCAGTGTAATCACTGACAGTTCGATTTGGAGATTTTTCTTTCAATACAACAGCATCTGTCTCTGGATGTAGGGAAAATTTCTAAAAAATCCATTTATCCTTTAATGTAATTTTCTGTAGGCGGCAGAGTAAGCAGTAAAGTTGGCGTCATAGGCGACAGTGCCGGAGGACATCTAGCGGCGACCATAGCTCATGAGGTCCCGGGGGTGGCACTACAGGTGAGATCAGTTTGACCTCCTCCTTTACAATTAGATATTGAGATTAACAGCGTTGCTTATTTGATCACACTTTTTCCCCTTTTTTCAAACAAGAGCCAGCCACTACCGGTATTCTGTTTGCCAGCGTCCATGTTCTCGCTGTCTTCACCTTGCATCAACTTAAGCAGTATTTCAACATTTCAATTAATTTACGTTCAGATTTTGATCGCCCCGGTTACTGATTGGCGGATGAAGACAGACTCATACAAGCGTTACAGTGAGGGATACTTCATGTCAGCTAAAGAAATGGATTGGTACTTATTTCAGTTGCCCACTGAATAGTTCGATACATTATCTTAAATCATGGAGGTCTAACAATGGCGGATCTTGAATTTGCTAGGTGGGGTGGTACAATGTAAAACGCCCCCCTCCTCGCGCCCTGAACCCGCCATTGTGTATACAAGTTACAAGAACCATAACGCTTTGTTAAATTAATGTAACTTACCCGTAAATGTAAAATCCCCTTTATGTATGGTATATAAAAGTTAGTCATTTTCATTCTTGTATGCGTTTATTTATTTTTATTTAATTGTTTTCATTTTTTCGAAAAATATGATCTTGTACAGTACAAGTCTATTTAGCCAGAAACGTACAAAACTACTTCTACTTCAGGTTTGCTTCAAAGTTTTTTACGTCTGATGCTGAACGGACTGACCCCAGGGCCTCCCCGTTATTGAGGTCTGAGTTCCAGAATCTACCCCCTGCTCTGTACATTGCCGCCAGTCACGACGTCTTGGTGGACGAAGGGAAAGGTATATGAAAACGAAAAAAGTTAAACCTATCATAATTTTCCTCTGTCTGTGTTAACTTATCTGATACAGTGATCTTTATAGCATAACCACAATTGTCAAAGCAAAAAGAGCTGTATATCATCATAAGGAATTAGATATAATTCAAGAAAAATTCAAAATTCTGTTTTTTCAGCATACGTAGAAAAACTGAAGGCAGCTGGTGTACATACGGAAACTGTAATACTAGAAGGAGTGGTGCATGGATATATTTTATTCCCACGTGAGTGAAACCTTCGCTCCTTCCCTCCCTCTCTCTCTCCCTCTTTCTCTCGTATATTCAATATTTTGTGTGCCTGATATATCAAACTATATTATTTCTTTTTTTCAGATGTATGCAAAGAAGCAAACGATGCTACTTTGAAGAAAATTGACAACTTCGTTAAAACCTATGGACGTTAAACTATGTTGCTACTCCTAGACAAGCCCCCCTCTTGCAAATAGAGAATTTTTATATTTAAAAATATGGGGAATTTTTGAAGCAAATATGACCTCCGAAGTACATGTGCCATTGGACTTTCGATCGTCTTCTAATAGCATACACTGATAGTTAGCTCATTACTGTCTTTGATGTTTGGAGACGTGTTACAATTTATAATTGATATATTCAGAGCAAATGTGCATTAGTCTGTTAACCATAGTGTCTTGTTTCTCAGACATTTGGTTCAAGTTTTTAGTTTTCCCTTTTTGAATATTTATTAACCCATTCCTTTCCGTTAACAGCTATACACAATTCTGTTACACAGAACCTTCGTTGAGTGGATTATTAATCATTCCACGTATAAGAAGCGTTTTCCAAAAATAATATCCATCGTCATGTTATTTTACAAATAAATGGCTGGCTAATTTTTTCTATGGTTTTTGTCTTGTCCTGTTACCCAAGGCTTCGTGTCAGAGTACTGGATTTGCTTAGTACATCTCATGGATAGAGGTTATTCACCTGAATGGCCTGATTTGTTTAGTAAGATGCTCCAGATAGATATCGAATATTTGAGGTTAACATTTTCAACAACAGCTGTTAATTGAGGACTATGACGCCACTGTTTTATATCTGAATTTGCGTCATTTCGTCCATGACACTGGTGTGATAGGTAACTGCGTGATAGAGTGCAACATCAAGATAACCAAAGTTGGAATATCTATATATTGTATCGTCCCAGTGTATGTAATATGGGGGTATTTTCATTTCACAGTTTCAGAATGATTTTGGGGTCGGTTGCAAATAAAGAAACATAGATTTGAAACTGATAAACCTTGTAAAACATAAGCAAGTCGTGTTTCAAACTGTTTTAATAATGACTCGCTCCAAAATATATACCGACTGACGCCGAAGTGTTTTAATTATACATACTGTACAGAAAATAATACCAGTGAAAATATCCATATTGTCCCATTTATTCAAATTTAGAGCATGCCCCCTTTCCCTAACTTCGACATCTGATGTCCGGCAGTGATTTCCACAGAGGTAAAATAAAACGTCCATAAAATTAAAAAGACACCACCAATGAGGGTCAGCATGCCCTCTTTTTATGCGCCGTAGTTAATAGTATTATATCCTGTAGGCGGCCTTCAACAACGGCAAGAATTCTGTTTTGTGCAAAATTGTCCCATTCGTCTTAAAGAGTTTGGCGGAGTTGGTCCAGATTACCCCCCGGATTGCTTCTCCTCTGCACTGCACACTCCAATTCATGGTGTTCAGTAGGGTTAATACCAGGGCTGAGAAGATGGTTACTCAATCCTCAAGATCATTTGTTGTCTGCAACAAATCATCCACCAGATGATATGGATATTTTCACGGCTATTTTGTATTTTCTGTATCGTTAATCATGTTATATATAGTTTCGGGGATAAAAAGCACTGTTTATAACAATTTCCAGTTGTGATAATTCGTAAGTAAAAGGCACATACTTTATGACCCTTACTTATCTGTAGTGTAAATATCGTCGTGGATAGGAGACCTTTTTGGTCCAAGGTCGTAGTTATCATTTATATTAAGGGCGCGTTGCAGACGCAGTCAATCGTTCGCCATGCCGCTCCCCGCAGACATCGACCAACTTCACCCTGAGACTCAGGCCCTGCTTCGAGCGGCCGCAGAAAAAGGGGGGAAGGGGTATGAAGAAGGTGAAACCATGGAAGAGTCACGAGCGATCGTGGATGCCATGTGCGAGGATTCCAACAAGGAGGCAAACTACCAGTTTAAAGGAGAAAAGCAGATATGCACGGTTCCTTCTCCTCATTGCCAAGGTACACGAGCAGTTTGCTTCACATAGACCGAGAAGTGCTTTCAATAATTCCTTTGACAGACCACCTTTTAAATAAGTCGGTTAATACTAGTACGTATATTTGAGGTACAAATCTAAGTACAAAAAGAACGGACTTAATAAAAAATATTCGTCGCTAGGAATGCACATATTGGAATTGAAATGAGGCAACGAAAGTTTATTTTCTTCATCAGATGGAATCACTGTGTGGGTATATAGACCAAAACCGTGTCCCCCAAGTCCCACCATACTGGTATATTTCCATGGAGGGGGATTTGTGGTTGGCGACCTAAGAAGCCACGATACCGTGGTGAAGACTTTAGTCGAGTGCGTATGATTCTTGTAATAAAGACCTATAAAGAGATTCAGCTGACAAATTGGTATATCTCTTATATTTAATCATTTATCAATAAAATTGTAGTGTAAACAGTTTTGGTTTGTCAAATAACGTTGGCGATCTTAATTTTGATCTACTAGTAGTTATAATTCTCAGGCCAAAGCCATTTCCGCTTCTCTTCTAAGCTTTTCTCTAAGATGTTCTCTAAGCTGTTCTCTTCTAAGCTTTTTTTATTAATTCCAGCACAACGGGGTGCATAGTTGTCAACGTGAACTACCGTCTGGCTCCTGAGCACAAGTTTCCTGCAGGAATTGATGACTCTGTAACAGCGGTCAAGTGGGTTATGGCCAACAAGGAGAAGCTCGGTGAGAGAGCAATGCGTTATGTTTTCAAAAAACTCAGTGCATTCAATTCCAAGTGCTGAGTTTGTATTCTTTTAAAATGATTTGAATCTTCGGAAACAATAAATAAAGCAATTTTGTAATTTTAAATAATTCAATTGGTATAAAAAACAGGTCCCTCTGGACTATTTTGGGATTCTTTACAATATCAGCGTAATCACTGACAATACGATTTTCAGATTTTCTTTTAATATAACAGCATCCATCTCTAAATGTAGAGAAAATTTCACAAAAATCCATTTTATCCTTTAATGTAGGCCTATTTTTCTGTAGGCGGCAGTGGAACCAGTAAAGTTGGCGTCATAGGTGACAGTGCCGGAGGACATCTAGCGGCGACCATAGCTCATGAGGTGCCAGGGGTGGCACTACAGGTGAGATCAGTTTGACCTCCTCCTTAACAATTATTCATTTAGATAGCCAAACACCCCATTTCCATAGATTTTTAGATCGATCTATCCCTGTGGGGAGTCTCACTAGATTACTGTCAGCTTGGCCGGCTTAAGCGTCTGTCCCGCCTACTAAAAGCTGTAAGGGGGTAATTAACTATGGTGCCCGCTTGGCTGACTGCAATTTAGCGTGAACCCCCAGGGAGTTAGGTCGATCTAAAACTTAATCTTTAGATCGATCTAAATCTCTGGGAAAGCACCCTTAAACAGCGTTGCCAATCTGATCCAAGTTCTTCCATTTTCTCAAACAACAGAGTCCGCCACTACCAGTATTCTGTTTGCCAGTGTCTATGTTCTCGTAGTCTTCACATTGCACCAACCTTGGACATAATTTTTTCCATGCACCAGCTTAATGTTTCAATATTTCTACTGATTTATTTTCAGATTTTGATCGTCCCGGTCACTGATTGGCGGATGCAAACAGACTCATACAAGCGTTACAGTGAGGGATACTTCATGTCGGCTAAACAAATGGAGTGGTACGTATTCAATTGTCCACTAAATTGTTCGATACATTATGTTTCATCATGTAGGTCTTCCAGCGGCGGACCATGAATTTTGCTAAAGAGGCCAGGTGGTACAATATACCGGGTAAAATGCCCCCTCCCCTCCCCGCACCCTGAATCCGCCATTGTGTATACATGTTGCAAGCACCATAACGAATATGTACGTTAATGTAAATTACCCGTAACTGTAAATTACCCGTTATGTATGTAAAACTAAAATCAGTCATTTCCCATTCTTTTGTGCACTTTTTTCATTTAATTTTATTTGTTTCACTTTTCGAAAAAGTTATCTTGTACTAAGCTATTTAGCCAGTCTGAAGAAACTAAGTTACACAAAACTACTTCTACTTCAGGTTTGCTTCAAAGTTTTTTACTTCTGATGCTGAACGGACTGACCCCAGGGCCTCCCCGTTATTGAGGTCTGAGTTCCAGAATCTACCCCCTGCTCTATACATTGCCGCCAGTCACGACGTCTTGGTGGACGAAGGGAAAGGTATATGAAAAAGAGAAAAGTTAAACCTATCACAATTTTCACCTGTCTGTGTTAATTCATCTAATACAGTGATCTTTTAGCATAACCATATTTTTCGAATCAAAAATAGTTGTTTAATCACAAGGAATTATATATAATTTTGAAAATTCAAAATTCTATTCTTTCAGCATACGCAGAAAAAATGAAGGCAGCTGGTGTACATACGGAGACACTAATGCTGGAAGGAGTGGTGCATGGATATATTATATTCCCACGTGAGTGAAACCCTCGCTACCTTCTCTTTTCATCTCTCTCCCTCTCACTCTCGTACATTCAATATTTTGTATAACTGCTATATCAAACTTCATTTCATTTTTTTTTTTCAGATGTCTGCAAAGAAGCATTTGATGCTACTTTGAAGAAAATTGACGACTTCGTTAATACATATGGACGTTAAACAACATGTATGTTGCTACTCCTAGACAAAACCCTCTCCTTCAAAAAATGCAAAAATTGAATAAAATATGGGGAATTTTTGAAGCGAAGATGATCCCCAAAGTACACGTGCCACTGGACTTTCAATCAGCTTCATACACTGCAAGCTAGTCCATTATTGTTTTGGGTGATTTTGCACTTTGGAGACGTATTACAATTTATAAATGAAATATTCAGAGAAAATCTGCATCTGACTGTTAGCCATAGTGTCTTTTTTCTCAGACGTTTGTTTAAGTTAGGTTTAGTTTTCCCTCTTTCTATATTAATTTACCCATTCCTTCCCGATAACAGCTACAGTATTTCGTTTAGTGGATTGTTAAATCATTTCACTTATAAGAGGCGTGTTCCAAAAATAATATCCATGGTCATGTTATTTTACAAATAAAAGCCTGGCAATTTTTTTACAGTTTTTGACTTGTTACCTTAGTCTCCGTGTGTAAGCACTGGATCTGCATAGTACAGCTTATGGATAGAGCTTATTCACCTGGATAAGCTCTATCCATAGAGCTTATTCACCTGGATAGCCTCATTTCCCGAGGAAGATGCTCTAGGAAGATATCGAATATGGGGGGTTAACATTTTCAACAACAACTGCTTTATTTTTGAATATGCGTAACCTCATTCATGACACTGATATGATAGATAAATGCGCCATACAAAATACACAGAGTTATCAAAATATACGTAGTCCCAGTGTACGTTATATGTGAGTTTTTTCATTTTACAGATTCAGATCGATTTTCAGGTCAGTTAGAAATAGAATCGATTGATTTGACTTTAATAAGCATCGTAAGATAAAAGCAAGTCGTTTTTAAAACTTTTCAATAATGATTAGATGCAAAATAATCGAAATACCCTTTGAACAGGTCAGACCGACTTGGTTATTTAAAAAAATTAGTTTAATATTAATTTTCGAGGAATAAAACAATGACTGGGTCTTAAATAGAGCCATATATCTCTAACCATTTTTTTCTTTAAATTTTTTGGTACTTCATTTCAATTTTTTTATACTTCATTTCAAATATCAAATGAATAAATAAATGTTAAATATGAATAATGAAAACCTACTATACGCCCTGTACCTTACAGGAATATAACAAGAATTTCTTTTTGGTGCGTAGACGTCTAAAACAATGACCTATCAAGACACTTGACATATAAACTAAATAGACACAGCCAGCTCAGCTGCTAAAGCACTGAGCCATTGTCTGAAAGCCAACAGCGATATAAAATACAGCAAATACGAAGGTCAAGGGGGATGAAGTTCTCTGAATGGAGGGTAAGCCTTGTCATTGTGTCTTTATTCGTAAAGACACAAAGTACACTAAAAAAATATGTGCACGGAGTACATATTTCTGCATATTTCTGGGCTATTTTTTCGCAATGTGCCCAGAAATTATCGCACAGCTGCTAAGCTATTGAATAACCTGATATTTTTAAATATTAAAATAGTGTGCTCCTGAAAGCTCACCCGTGCCATATCTTATGGTAACATTTGAAGAATGCCAAGATGTGTAGTTTCTCCGTTCACATATTATTTTGAGTGTACTAACTCTTGTCTTTTCAAACAAAAAGAACATAAAAGGCAAAGACTTGCCTGACATTCAGTTTAGTTTACCGGTACCTCTTGTCTGGAACCGCGCAAAATTTAGCTATTGATCAATTTAGAAATAGGCTCTAAATACAGACACCGTTGAATACTTTTAGTTCGGATAACGCGTTAATATTATCTTCCAGGATCGTGGTCAAAATAGTTACGTGTAAATCGCTATGATGAAATCCAACGCTGACAACAATAACCAGTTTCAATCATTTAATGTTCACTCGTCGCTTGCTCAGGTACATTCTGACGCTATGTTGAATATTACACCCTTAAGTATCTAACCAAGACAATGGCTTCATGAACTTCCTAATCAATGGCTTCTTTTAAAATCAGAATAGTCAACAAGCCTACTATGCCTATTTAGACTTAAAATAAAGTATTACAAGGAATTACAGACTACAGTAAAAAGTTATTACGTCAAGTTACCGAAATTGCCTGTGAATTATTTGATGGCTCCTACACTCTGTTCAATCAGAACGCACCTAACCCAGCCTCGTTTTGCGTCAGTAGACGTAACTGATTAACTAGCCTCTCACCTAATCCGCCATGTCGTTACCGGCAGAAATCGATCACCTACACCCCGAGGCGCAGCTCATGATTCGAGCAGGGGCTGAGAAAGGGGGAAAGAATTACGAAGATGCAGACACAATAGAGGAATCGCGAGCAATCGTGGAGACACTGTGCGCAGAAACCACCCAGGCAGCCAACTATCATTATAAAGGAGAAAAGCAGATATACACGGTCCCATCACCACATAGCCAAGGTAGGTTATACATGTAAATGAGAATGTTTTGGGATCTCGGGCACGGTATTTGAGACAACCAAACATACAGTGCTCAAGGAAGTTGAAATGGCAATCCAGAAGAGCAAAGTGCGTAGCTACAGGTACATGTAGATAACATTTGTCAAAATAACATGTACACGTATACATGTAGTTACATCTAATGCATAATGTACTTTTCACCCATAGTTTCCAATAAAAAATAAACCCCGGGCACTGACCTACTAAATGCCCTGACTTTAGTGCGCATTCAGTGAACTTTTCCATTACTGAAGGTTATGCACATTTACAGTATCTATGCCATACTTCAGACACACGTTTGACATTTGGGACAAAGTAAGTTATACTATGTAGTTACTCCGCACACAAATTATTTCGAATGTTCTTTGTCTTTATGTTCGAAAAACAAACCAAATACCAATACTCCACAACGTTCATTTGCCTAGGGAGTGCAGCCCCCTTGGTATTAGGGATATGTGCTCGTTTCAGCTGGAATTCCGTTATGGGTGTACCGGCCCAAGCCTTGTCCTCCCAGTCCAACTTTACTGGTGTTTTTTCATGGTGGAGGGTTCGTCGTCTGTTCCACAAGGACCCATGAAATCTTGATGCAGATGATGGCTGAGTGAGTACATTTCTCTCTCTCTCTCTCTCTCTCTCTCTCTCTCTTTGTGCGTGTGTGCGCGCTCGCGCGCGCGTGTGTTGATATAAATTGGTGTGTTTGTTCATTATAGCCCCAAACCAACACAATGAATATTGGTTTCTTTGTATAACCTTCGGTCGTCCTGGTAACAGCACTTAAAAATTTTCCACCCAAGATGGCAGAATCCAGATCTTGAGCTTATAAATCATAAAAGTAGATAATAGTGCACTTCTCATTTTCATATATTGTTAAATATCATATCTTGATAATTCAACATTTTTGTTGGTTTAAAAAAAATTAGAAAAATAACTTTAAAATGTTGAATTTTCGAAATTTCAAATTTTCGTAAAAAATGAGCTAAATTTGCCTTTTTTTACACACATGTTTCATAGATTGGAAGACATCACCTATTCTAGTTATTCATTTCGTTAAAATTACGTTTGCCGAATTTTATTAAAAGAAATGTTTATGGTAACAATCGGTTTTGCTTTAGTTTTACGGGGTGCATAGTGGCGAATGTAGACTACCGCCTGGCGCCAGAGAACAAGTTTCCTGCACAGCTAGAAGACTCAATAGTAGCTGTAAAGTGGGTGATGGAAAATAAGGAGTTAATTGGTATGTATTTTTCTAAATATTGAAAATTCATTATAAAAGGCATTTATTTATTTATTTATTTATTTATTCATATCATTTTCGTAATCATTTGTACTTAAAAGAGAATAATTATGGCTTCAGGATAAAAACAGGATTTAAAAGCCATTATTCATTCTGAAGCAACAGAAAAATGAGTTTGATGAAAATACCCAAACAGGTGGCAGTAAATCAAGCAAAGTGGGCACCGTTGGTGACAGCGTAGGAGGCCAACTCGCGACGACAACTGCCTATGAGGTCCCGGGGCTGGCGTTTCAGGTAAAAACAAGAAAAGTACGGGACCTGTTTAACAAATATTCTGCAAAGTTCTTTGGCTACGCTTATAAACTGCTAAATCCGGATAGCCGACAACATAAAGTCGACTTTGTGATAATGGCCTAAAATCTTTTAAGAGTGATTGGTGCACAATAAATGTACTAAATATACATGTAGCTAAATGGGCACCTGTCATAACTCCTGTAAAAAAAACTTTTCGAATTTTAAAATGTCTTAAATTGAAAATTTGTAGCTCCTAAGTAAAGAGAAGCGTGAATATAAGGAAGCATGACTCTGATTCCCGTTGTAGAAATTATTTATCATGTATTCTATAAACATGAATACGTTTATTACATATCGCTTACTGAAGTAAGGGTCAACTCCAACAGATGACGTTTTGCATTACATTCCCGATCTGACAGGCCTATTATTATCATTTTCATCTTTGTCGTACTTTGTAACCTAGATTTTGTTCAATCCAAGTAATCAAGTTGTCAAGTAATTTTGCCTCACATATGCAGGTATTGCTCTACCCAGTTACGGACTGGAGACTGAACAAAGATTCCTACAAACGCTACAAAGAGGGGTACTTTTTGTCTACAAAACAGATGGAATGGTACAGTATTATTTGTAAACTAAAAGTGTATTGTAATCAAATTTAAAATTCAGCACAGATCTGTCAAAATTGGTGTTGCTTTTTGTGTGTAAGGGACGCGTAGGCGCCCCTTAGCATGTCCCACACCCCTAGGATGTCGCGGCGCCCCTTAGTGTGTAGGTGATCAGTGCGCTCACACTGTGATTTATTTAACACCATTACCGAACACGATCAGATGCAAATTAAATGTTGTAATACATTTTGCTTTCTGATTCAGTAACATAAGACTTATATAACACAACTCCGTTATCTATAGGTTTGCCAGTCATGCTTTCTGTTCTGTCGCTGAACGAAGTGACCCCAGGACCTCCCCGTTGCTAAGACCTCAGTTGGAGAATCTGCCTCCTGCCTTGTGTGTGGTCGCAAGTCACGATGTCTTAGTGGACGAAGGAATAGGTAAACTTATCCTTGGACGAATAAAATACATTTCAATCGTCCAATAATTATCCGAACATGCCTTAATTGTTATTCAATGCTTTGGCAATTCTCTACACACTGCGTCACATCTTGTCACAATGAATCAATCACTGCTTTACCCCTGGTTTTAACCACGATTAGGGTCCGTTACCTCTCTTTTGCTGACAAACATGCAAAGGAACAGAAACATTTTTGTCTCTTTTTTCCCACCTGCCCCGTCCGTTCCCTTTTCTCACCACCACTATTAGGAAAACCCGCAAGTACGTACAATGATGTGTTTGGCGAGCCACACATTCACGGGTAAAACATTCCGGTCATTCATGTAAAAAGTTAACACGCACCATATCACTACTTCTATTACAACCCTTGTTGTTTGGAAACGAGTGTTACGGTATTCGAGGCCCAAGTCAACTCGAAGAAAAAAGTGCGCAGGATAGGCCTATGTAAAGACTCATAAATATTCATGTAAATGTGAAAACGAAACTTGACCAAAATTGGCATCTGAGACCAACCAAAATTGATATCTAACATGGAGTACTGTATATTCTTGTTGTATGGATGTGTATTTTCAGAGTACGCCGAGAAATTGAAAGCAGCCGGTGTACATACAGAAATAATGAAGGTGGAAGGAGTAATGCACGCTTACTTGAGTTTCCCATGTAGGTATCAGTTGGACATCTCTCTCTCTCTCTCTCTCTTACACACACACACACGCACACCTCAAAGATCTTTAAAAAACATTTTTATATGTGTTTCATGTTACAATTGTTATCACTGCCGCCCACGGGGGGATCTTGGGGTGGGGGGCCAAGTTAAGGGAGTGGCCGCGCCTTCTGTGCGCTCCCCTAAGGTCTGGATCCGGTAATAACTTTCTTTTTATTTTTTTCAGGTTTTTACAAAGAGAATGTGAAGGTCACTTTGGAGAGAATGAAAGAATTTGTGAACATGTTTGGGAATTAGACCAATCGAAAGTAAAACTCGACAAACCGCTATGTGTATGAATTCAACGTGTTCAAGTGATGGATGGAGTTAGAAGAGCTATATATACGATATACCCGCCAAAATGAATTTTCTACAGGGAAAAAACAATTTTCTGCTACTTGATAATCATTGCTCAATTCCTGTTTTTGGATTCCATGATTTAGTTCTAAATTACGGGCATTTTGAACACCATGTCTTCCTATAAAATTCATAAGTAATTCTCGACGTCGGAAGTTTCAGTTTTTAAGGTCTGAATTGGGAAACGTTTGGAGCTTTGCAGAATATGTATGAACGTGACTTTGGGGAACTTTAAAAAAGCGCACAGTATACCTTTTAGGATGTTTTCTGTCACAAATCTCCATTAAAAACAACTGAGATCCAACATTTATAAAAGATAAAAATTTTATTCATGTGAGATTAACAACAATGCTGCCATAGAAAATGACAGAATGAAATGTGCATACAAAGTATACAGGCACTCAAGTCTGGGGCAGTAAACATATACTCGGTCCTTGCAAGATCACATTCTGCATAAATAATAGGGCACTGAAGTCTCATTTGCATGTGCACAATAATACCATGTATATAAGTGTTACCATGCAATGTATCATGACAACACAACTTTGCACATCCTCGGTTCATTATGATTGACAAATAAAGCCTACCAACAGTGTCTTTCCCATTTGCACATTTGCCTTGTTTGAGTTTATCCACAGGGAACCAAAAAATAAACACTTTCCCTTGCTACTTAGGTACACCCAAAAACAAACCAGAAAACCATGTTGACAGCTGAAGTCACTGTCGATTAGACCAACCAAACCATGAGTAATATCTTACTTGTTCCTGGAAGTGATGAAACATATTGGAATCCCGCAAACTTCAAATCTCGCTTGTGTGCCCTATTGCAATTAATAATGCATATTTCCTTAATATGAGTAATGAGATACACTGCAGCTGCTTCTGATACCATATTTACGATTAAAAGGCACAGAAAGTCTCATTATATGCACAAATAAAATAATTCTTTAGAAGTGTGCTTTTAACCAATTAAGTGTACAAAAGAAACTACAGGTACTGTTGCAGCAATGTTACAGGGAAACAAATACATGATACCAGATGGCAACACACACACACATATTCATTTCATGTCTGAATATTTGCTTTTATTAAAAGTAATATCATCAATTTATAAAGTGGAAAACCTAAACAAAAATTGTACATAGAGCTGTCAACAATGTGGATAGACCCCTCATCATAAACTGACTGGCCACCAGTATGACATATGCATTTAATTCACCTTTCATGATCTGTGTACCAATTCCATTATAACACTGGAATGTCTACTAGTAGGTTGGTTTGGCCGAGTTCTGTGTGCATATATCCTGACAACAATGCAAAGACCAAAAATTTGTACATATACATAGTTTACATCACCATCATAACTAAATGAGACGGAGAAATGCATAACTTAAAGTACCTCAATAATTAAAAACAATATTATATATTTATTTATAACAAATATATAAATATATGAATTGATATAATCTATAGACACACAAAACCTTCACCAAAATCTTGTTTTTTAGCATTCCATACAAAATGTAAAAACTTTTCTAACAGGGCTTGTTAAGTAGTTAATGGATAGATGGCAACTTAATTGATCAATACTCAACTGTTATCTACCAAAAATCCTCACCTTTATAATTATTACACAATGGAAGGTTCAAAAGCTGCTGCTTTCTTTAAATTCATGCAGTGAAGGACTTGTCTAGAGAGGTCTACAGCCCAACCCACTATGAAATGAGGTGTGAGCAAAAAGTGCTTCCACTCCTTCACAAACACAAACTTAAAAAGCAAAAATCCCTTATCATGTGATACAGCACCAATATACAGAATATAATTATCACTCTGAAGAGCCACTAATGTATGTCTAAAATGTTCAGTAAAAATAATAGCAATGGAATAATAGAAATTATGTGACTTTTTCAAATTCTTTTTTCATTTTATATGTATAACATATATGTAACGAACTGATTCAATCTCTGAGACTGTCACAGTGGAATATTGAGAACTGGAATGACTGCCTGCTATTACAGATTAAATGCTTCTATGCATTAAATAATACACATAATTTTCTAAAACAAAAATAATTATAATATTTATAACCACGCTGTGTTTAATCCACCACCTCTAATAAGATACCTAGAACTATTGATATTATTTACTAATTACTCAGACTTAGCAGGCCTTTTATGTATATATGCCTTATGGTAAAAATTCATGAAAAGTGATGTCATGCCCAATCCATATAAAAATCCATAAATACAGAAACCATGGTAAACATAACCTACACCCGCAAAGACAAAATCTATGAAAAACTGCAGTATCTGTAGTTGTGTGAGATTCTTTTTCCACTCTAATGAGATATTGGGATGCCAAGCTGTCATGCCATAATAGAAGTATAGTACTACATGTACAAATGAGTTAATGGCAAGAATAGGAGCAATGGCAGGCCAAGGAACATAACGATAGGCAAAGTCACTAAGGAGCAACATGGAGCTGTGATGGTACACGTGGAGGAAGGAAATCTGTCGCTGCTTATGCCTTAGAATCATGAACACTGTGTCTAGTAGCTCAATGGTCTTGGTGATCCAGTATGTGAAGTAGAATGGGGCCAGCAAGTGGCTGGGGGATTTGTCATAGATGTGAGGGCTATGTAGCAACCCATACATGAATCCTAATAATGTTACTGAGCTTAATAGACAGCAAACTAAGTTGTAAACCACCAACACCTAAAAATAAAAGAAAACATGTTATGTAATTAAATGTGATATTCTTTTTTTAAAAAGCTGAAGGCTGTGATCTTAAATGAATAAGAAAACTCATTGTGCCAAAGTAGACGAATTGTTAAATTTCATATATGTGTAACTGAAGAGAGATTAAGGAGTAACAGATATCATCCAAGATGGCCTAAAGCAGTCACTTAGATAACCATTATATCTTCCTGATGTTTTAGAAAAATATAAGTAGGTGTACGTGTTTTACAGTTTTTATTACTGGTTTTGTTTAATGTAATTGTAAGATGCACCCTTTTAAGGTAAACTGTGGTCAGGAACATTGGTTTTTATATTGTTAATTCAGAAAAAAATCTTAGCTTCAACCACCTGTATTGAGAAAGATAAGTAACTTTGCAGGATGTTAACAGATGAAAATATAATTTGGGGGCATTGTCAAATGTGTATAAAGTAGGAATACATGATCATGTACTAGCTAGTAACTGTACTAGTAATCACAGTACTGGTACATGCACCTTCAGTGAAAGCATACATAAACGAGGACACAAAGTCATGCCAATTCATACATGTACTTACCGGACGAAGTGTTAAAGGTTTTGTATTTTGCTGCCATTTTGACCTGAACACAACGAGTATGATATAGACGCAGAATATAGGCATGGATGGCAGATGAAGAACTTTGTTTATAAAGTTCATATATCCCTTCAACTGCACACTCCCTGCCCCAATGCTGGATTCATTGCCCAGCCCTACATCTGCTTCTGATGCCATCTTTCAATGAACAATAAAAAGAAACAAAAATATATTAATTCACAGAGACGTGATGCATTTTGCGTCACCCTCGCCAAGCATGAAGTTTCAAGAGTTAAGCACTGAATCTCTATGCGGTGGGTTAGGCTCTGTTCTCACAACTTTTAGATCGATCTATCACCGCGGGGAGTCTCACTAGATTACTGTCAGATAATCCCCCTTAAGTGTCCGTCCCCGCCTACTACAAGCTTTAAGGGGTAATTAACTTTCGTGTCCGCCCGGCTGACAGCTATTTAGCGTGAACCCCCAGGGAGTTAGGTCGATCCAATGTAGGTCGATCTAATCTATGAGAATGGGGTGTTACTTACTACAGTTTCGTTTCGTTCACGCACACAAATTATGAAATAGCACCTTTTTATTTAAATTTACACCAAAAGATACTTCCACCATCTAACATAGCCTCGAGAGTTTAAAGTACAGGTTGTTATGAGGCCTTACCTGAGATAAATACCTAACTTGCAAGGTCGAAACTTGAGGCAACCCACCCTCCTCAACCACTTTAACCGGAAATCACGACCTATTTATCGTGCACATGCGTACTTATTCAAACCGGATTTGAAAACGAGGCTGCATTCCTGACGACGAGAAACAAGCTTGGTGCCTTGACTTGAGAAGCGGCTGATATTATCACCTCTCCCCCAGCTGCTACTCAAACGGGAGATTGAAAACACAACTAAAGCCGGAGAAGCTTATGTGGGCGCCTAGTTAATCCAACTTGATTGTTGTCGTTAAAAGAATATCGGTGCAAAATGGTAAGGCGCATTTTACTTTGCGTGACTCGAACTGGTAATAAAATAAAGTAGAAATAATATAGTTACTGGTAAAATAGAAATGTCTGTTAGATTACGCATTGTTTTACTGCCAGTCCGCAAAGTTGTTTAGTATTAGAATAATTTACAAAATTGCACATGACAGTATTGTCATTACTGAACATAAGTAACGTCTCCGGTCTTGCTGAACATTATAAAATCTCACAAAGATGAGTTAGAATTTACTTGATTGCAGATTTGCATACGATTTCAAAAAGTGGATTCTAAAATAATAATTTTGTCCATTAAATACTACGTGAACAAGCATCAGCCATCACACTTTACTTTCTTTCTTTCTTTTTTTTTCTCTAAGAACAATTGAAAAATTTTCTTTCAGACTTTCACTAATATAACTGTTACTAGTTTTGCGCTCACTCTAATTTTTTACGTGTGCAGATGCTTTCAAGGACCAAGCCGGCCACTGGGCCTGGCTCTGCAGGGTCTACCAAAGAAACAAAGAAGAAAAAGAAGCTGCCAAAACTGGAAGATTTTTTACAAAACAGAGACTACACTGGTGCAATTACCTTGTTAGAGGTCTGTTTTTTTATTATTTATTGAGCTTAACATCTCATGTCAGCCATTTTGATCAGATCTGAAAGATTCTTTTCCACTTACTTTTTTGTTTGTTTGTTTGTTTTTTGAAACAACAGTGTAAACATCAATTTGTTCTTGACCACAGTTTACCTTAAAAGGGTGTACCCAACAATTATCAAAAACCAGTTGTTAAAACACTTTAAAACATCTCCTTATATGTTTTCTTATTTATAGTTTAACAGAAACAGTGGTAAAGGCAATGAAGAGACAGACTTGTATATAGCATATTGTGCATTCCACTTGGGTGACTACAAGAGATCAATGGAGGTGAGGATTTAAAAGAAACCTGAAACTTACACACAAGTAATAAACAGTCTCTCTGGAAACTGAAATATATGTTATGCAGATAGCAATATTTTTTCCAGAAATGCACAGACATTGATAGTTTTAATGTAAAAGCTCATAAATTATGTGATTCTTAGATTTAGGATTATTTTCTATGCATTATTAGTGTAATTTTTTTCTTTTATCCAATGTAAAAAGATACTTAGTCTAGTACAAGATTTTCTGATAGTTCAGTTAGAAGCCTTCTGTACATAGTTGAAATTTCCATGCTAGAAAAAATTGATAATTTTTTTTTTTCACAAAAATACCACATTATATATTTTAACTTTCAGGAATATGAGCGTGTAGTTAAGCGCGAGGGCAGTCTCCCAGATGTATGGACATACCTTGCTTGTTGCTACTTTTTCCTAGGAATGTACAAGGAGTCAGATGAAGCCTGCAAAAAAGGTACAGTATGCCCCATACTACAACAAACTGGCTTAGCTTAAAAGACTGATAATAATGTTATTAACAACACTTTATTTTACTCTGTTCCTCAAACTCTACGAAGTTGGGTTATAATGTTTTGGTTTACCAATTAAATTAACTGCCCCCATGTCAATGCCACAGGCTAACTGGAAAACTGTTGTCTAAAGGCATTCAGAACTGTGCTTTGATGTAGAAGTTGAACTAATAGTTCATGCACTTGGCAATCTTACTAGACTGTGACACACCCACATATATGACCTACACAGTGTGTTACATAACTCAGTTAATGGATTAATCCACAGTTTTCTGGACTGTCCAGCCAGATGTATGTCTTGCATTGCTATAATTCAAACATCACTCCAAATGCCCCGGCACAGTGTCACATAAAACTCAACTAATCTCATTGATGGACAGAGACATTTTTGCTTTTCATATCCACTAAAGCCTTGGAACGACTAGAACCAGAGAGACATCCAGATGAAGGTAGTTTGCTTGATATATGAGCACCAGGGTTTCACAGTACAGGTCATATGTAGTGAGGGGTGCTACAGGGGGTGCTATAGCAAGCAGTTGAAAATGGGCCCAAGCTTGGGGGATTTCTGGTGTCTGGCTTTTACCCTGTGTAGTCTAATTAGTGTTGATTACTGCTAATTTCTCCTAAATCTTTAACAATATGTTTCTTTTTTATTTGAAAAAAAAAATGGATAGTCTAGAATGACTTTTATTTGCCTTTTTACAAAATTCCATCAATTTGTTTGTTGGTTGGTGCTATCATGTGCTCCTTTTTCATTTTATTTTAATGTTAAACACATGATTCACCCGTATGATGAGAATTCCTGATAATTATTTTTTCTCTTTCCATATATACTGAAATTATTTTGGCAATGCTCTTTTTTACTATACATACCTTTCTGTTAATTAAATAAATGCTTTTGTTACATTTATTAATCATATGATCAAAAAAGGAAATTGATTTCTTTCACCTTAGATAAAAGTAATTTTTGTTATTTTTCCCTTTTCCTCCAATTTTGTTACAACTCCTAGGCACCAAAGATGATTTCAAGCTTGGACCAAACATGAGATTACTGGCTTCTCAATTGATCCCCTGCTGTCAAACAGAATTACTATTTAACATCTAGGCTGTCAACTTCTATATAACATCCAATGCATATAGACAACATACTGGCACATGCTAATATTCCAAAATACTGTTTCATAAAAGAATAATATTATCACACTTAACTCACTCCTTCTATTATGCTACTTCTCACAATTCAGTCTTTAGTGTATTTGAATACCAACGACACACTGACATCTCACACTATGTCACAACAATGTCATACCTCTCACAATGTTATATCTAAGACAATGCCACATCCAAAGTAGTGCTACTCCTGACACAATATCACAACACATTGTGGCAAACAGCATAACTTGTGGGTAACATTGAGTTGTGATATTGTGTCAGTCTATTCTGTCACACCTACCGCATTTTGGGTTGCTATATATATAGAGGACCAAGTATAGGGACAGACAAAAGATGCTTCTTAAGTTCCCTCTGACACCACTCACATTTCCCAGTCACCTGGAAGAATTTGTGTCTTCGTCTGGTTTTTAAATCCCTTACTGCAGTGTTTTCTTTTATAACATTTTTGCTTCTTTTTGTTGTTTTTTATTATCATTATTATTATTTAGCAAATAACATCTGGATGGGGTTCTTGATTGGTCATTGATTTTCTACTGCCGACACAACCTGAGATGTTTCTTGAAAGATTTTGTTGTTATTACATCTTTTGTTTTTGATTTATTTTTGTCAATCCAAGGCTTGTGTGTGTTGTATCATTATTGAGATTTTATACTCAAAGAAAGTACCATGATCACTTTGGAAAATATAGTTTTTATTTCAACCATCTCATTCTGTCAGTATCTTTTAAACCTGAGAAAGAACTCTTTAGCTTGTGACCCAAAGAGGGGTTCTGTTTCTGTTGTTTAGAATTTGAAATTACCATTGCTCAAATAAATTATATAGCCTTTGTTTTTATTTAAGTTTGTCCTAGTGCTAAAATTGACTGATGTATTCCTACACAGTCACTGTGGAGCATTTTAGATATTACATAAAATAAGCTGGAAATTAATATTGCAGTCTCATGATGCTATTATAATAAGTTTCTTTAAAAGTTTTGGTGTAAAAATTTATTTCGCATTTGTCAAAGCATATCTATATTTTTGTATACGTGTGTTTTAACTAATCCCACTGTGTGCTTTTGGCTTCTACTAATTTCAGCATTATATGGTGCACTGGGTTGCCTTGAAAGTCAACATTATAAGTGCTGTTAGATGGGGGATATCAAAATGAATGCTGAAAACAGAATAATTGTATAATGTTGATGATTTGTAACATAAAGTTATATTTTATAGAAATTATTCTAGAATTATAAAAACAAAATTCTTAACAAATTATAATGGCTACAGGGTAAAAACCTTCCCCTATGAGTTGTCAGGCAGATATTGATAACCGTGATGCTCATGATTAAAAAACAAATGTTAACTCAAAGGCCTATTTTTCAACTTTTACGCCTCCAGCTCCAAAAAGCAGGCTTCAAAATCGCCTGATGTTCCACCTGTCCCACAAGTTCAACGATGAGAAACGCCTCATGGGCCACCATCAAAGTCTGCAGGATATCATAGAGGACCAGTTGTCCTTGGCATCCATACACTATCTACGCAGCCATTACCAGGAGGCTATTGATATCTATAAGAGAATACTTTTAGACAACAGGTGAGTAATGGAGTAATTCATCAGGATCTTTGCTCTTCTCTTTGACCTGTACCCTCTGTAGTGAACCACTTAGGACTTTCTAGTTACCCAAGATGTTTTCAATTGAAAGACTAATATTGCAGTAGCCTAACTATGATTACTTATTTCTTCTACAAAATAGTTCTAGATAATTGTGGCAGCTTAACTATGGTAGTTTTTCTACACTATGAAACAAAATAAATGTACATTAACTTGACTTGAAGTGAACAACCATTAGTATTTGTGTAGGCAGTTTAAATGACATCATGTGTGATTTGTTCTTTTCAGAGACTACCTGGCCCTGAATGTGTATGTGGCCTTGTGTTACTACAAACTGGATTACTATGATGTTTCACAGGTGAGTCTAAACCTCAGCCATTTCTTTGACTGCCATGTTACTTCCAAGCATCTGTATTTTTACACTGATTCCACAAATATTCAGTTGCTGAAGAGTTTTGGTAGTGTAGGGTCTTTGTACACATGACTAGGTTTTTCCAGTAGAATTTCTTGTTTTATATATGTTTTCATTATAGTGCTTCTCAAAATGTTGGGCAATTTTTTTATAT